GGAAAGTTTTTCACGGGCTACGATAAGATGCCTTCTATACACACACATGCCAAATGAAAAAAAAAATCATCAAATAAGTCAAAACAACCTAATATAGAAAACTAATTACTACCAGCAGGAGGGACATTAGAGAGCAAAGGAGACTAAGTGAATAGAAGCAGCAGTAATACCAGTTTCTATCAGCAAGATAAAAAGAAGCGCATTACTAAATGCGCTTGTTTACTTATTCTAATGATACGGTAGTAAAAGAGCTAAAACTAAGTTGAAAGGAGTCCATTTTACGTTTACCAGATTTACCAGAATTTGGAAATACTCCTGAGAAATAAGACCACGTTACATAATTAAGAGCAGTTGTAGCTGTAACACAGTGCCGTATATTGTGGACAAGTAACAAAGAGATTTGCAAAAATTAGGTTAAACAAAAATGTACATCTGCTTCAAAACTCTTTAATTACAATTGGCTAACTAAGCATAAAACAAGTCCAGAGGAAGAAAAGTGCTGCATCACATAAGCTTTGTTCAATATTGAATCATTCACTGATCTATCATATCACTTGCTACATCCCATTTGACATAAGAGGTAAAGAACAGAATTAAAATTAACAGATAAATAATGCATAAGTAAACTTGATTAGTTTTCTTATTAAAAACATCACTCTAAATGAGAGGAGGTGCTAGAAGACAATACAGTTTGTACACTGCTTTCCCATGAGCTGCTGAATGGTCTGATGTGATAAATTTGCATAGTCTGAAGCACACAAAGAGCTGATTAATTGAAACCCTTACAATGCTTCTGGAAGCAGCTATTGTAAAACAATAACCATAGGAACTTTACAAAATACACATGGCTGAATGAGTCAAGAGCTTAATAAAATGTGTGTTCAGGATACACTATTTGGAAACAGAATTAGAGATTTTTATTCTGTGCCATAAAATGCTAAATCACCCTAATTTCAGAGGTTCAGTTGAGGATTTACGGAAAAGGTCAGAAGGTTACCTGTTTGCTGCTTGAGATAAAAAATGCTGTAGTTTTCTCAATACAGCAAGCTAAGCAGCAGTTTTGTTAAAAACAAATAGAAAAAATAGTATGAGAAGTTTTAATGGCGTTCTGACATCTCATTTTCTCATACTCAACTTCTGAAGATAAAGTAAGAAATTCCTACCTTTCCTGATGCCTAATAACTTCTAACCATCCCACATTCCTGCAGCTGATAACAGCAAATTCTTTTTAATGCCACTTCAACCACTTAATTCCTATAAACCCACTGATGTTTTATTAGAGATAAAGTACTAACATGGGGGAAAATGACACAAGCAGCCATTTAAAACTAACATCTTACTTTAAGTGTTCTGCTTATACGTACTGTACAAGCGCCCATTAAAAGGAGAAAGATAAATTGTGCTCAACCATGAAGTTAGGCAAGCAGAGGGCAGATGCTCGAACTAGTAAAATTTTTAAAAAGTAAGCAAGGCCAGACTCTGGTAGATAAGCGGTATTGTCACAAAGTTTATGTAGTTGACAATGCTGTGAATGGATTTTGTTTTGACACTAAAGAACATGGTTCATTTAGGAAAACAAAGACCACCTTTCATGAATTTCAACTCGCTTCCTTGTCTTTAGAGTTGTTTAAGTGCAGATACTTCAGAAAGGTTTAATCCTTTATCTTAGATCTTCAGCTATTAAAAAGCTTCTGTTTGCCAGTTCAAAAAATCTCTTGCTTAAATACAGTTTTTCCACTCCTCAGGAATACTGTTCAGTATTGCTTAGTTCTGTGATCTACAGGACCTTTGTTGGAGGTGTTAATCCTTTTTCACATGAGAGACTGAGAAATGTTCTTTCAGAGAAGTGATATATTGCTTTTTTTCACATCAAAGGAGCCCAACTTTTTCCTCATTGTGACTTGTAGCAAAGCAAGAGGAAATCTGGAAATATAATAATTTAGTTTGTATGGAACTCAGATGAAGCTTCTTTAGCTTAACAATCGTTTAGCCTTCTGTGCTTTGAAAAGTGACTTTGCTTGAAGAACGCAAGATTAAAAACCCAAAATAATTAACAAAAAAAAAGTTTCTTTATCTTTCTGGAAAATATACAATGCAATATAGTTAAAACATATAGTTAAAGCTCAGGATAAATCCTCTCTGGTAAGCAGATGTCTATTTGTAAACAGTAGATGCTTAAGGGCTTTGTAAGACTAAAGGGACAGATCTTTACTGCAAGGTCCAGTTTGAATATGAATATTGAAATAGAGCAAAACATTTTGCATTGCAGAGCACAACATGATGGCCTCATTCGTGTTTTTTTTCTTCTCACCATATACTACTTTGTTGACAGGTCTTGAAGGAAAGGCTAGCTTTTACAGGCAGTTTGGAAGAAATGTACTTAAAACACGGATTTGGATGAAAAGAGGGTGTGGTGGACAGGCCAGAAGTGGTGACCCTTGCCAACACCATGTTGACATGTGAGAGGACACAAAGAAGGTAGCAAATACAGAGGCAGTGGCATAAATCTGTATTATTACAGAGGCCTACAAAACCTACCTACATATTTAATGAAAGGCTCTTTTGCAACAAAAGGCTAAAGCTGGTTTGTGGGATTTAATCTGTTGTATCCCAGACACTTCCCAATTCTCTTACTCTGCTTCCTTCTGCCCCAGCGACAAAGTATAGCTTTGAAATACAAATCAATTTGGAATACAGGAAAAAGCCCATGAAAAACAACTTGAGAGATGTGGTTTGTGCAATCTCTTTTATTTTGCACGTATTTAATTACTTTAAAACTACTAGTACAATTCTGTGAAATCAAATCTCATCTTCATGCATTCCTTCTAGAAAATAAAAATATTTCACAGAAAAGATTGACCATAGAGAGAGAAATATGGTTTCTCTCCTTCTCACCGAATCAAGGTACTTGCTAGTTTAAGATCATCATAGGTTTATATGGGCCTACAATGGGCTTAAAGCTAACATTTACAAATTAAATTTGAAGTGGTAATCACCTGCATTCAGATGAAGATGAGAGAACAAATTCAGGGCTAATTAAAAATTCTCTCAATGGAAAATGTTAAAACTGTTAGTATTACGATTTCTGTTTCACAATTGTCTATATTCCTCTGTCATGACTGATCCTTCCTGGATTTGATGTCAGAGAAGGGTATTAGCTGTATTTTTAAGCAGCTAGCAAAGGAGATTTTCCCTTTCCCTTTCATGCCTTTTCTCCAGTTCAACCATTGCCTGCGATCTAACATCAATGTCAGCATCTGGTTCTTTGCTGCATACTGAAGTTGCAAAACAGTGAACTCCACTGTTCTTGTCAGTATTTTTTTTCTTGGTATCTAACACATGTATCTTCTCCACTAAGCACATTTCTCCTTTCTCCCATTTATTGTAAGATCTTTTCCCATAACGTGCTACAAGCCAGTGAACTGAGGTTTACTACCAGGAAGGCTACATATCCTAACAGAATGGAATAATTTAGAGTATGATCACTCCCCTGATCACTGCTACAGATTGAAGTAGTGGACCCCTAACGAGCACATGCCTGCAAACTCTGTAATACAACTGCTGCAATGTTCCCACTCACATCTACAAAACCGAGCTGAGAGGGACATTTGCTACGCTGAATAACTGATGGGTTTGGATTATTATTATTATTGGTTCAAAGCACAGGTCCATAGGGGATCAGTCATTCTAACCTGATGCAATGCCAGGCATCATTATGGGCGCCCTCAAAGTTTCCTACAGCATTTAGGATGTTGTTTTTCATTACCATGGGATTTCCACAGGTATTTTACTTTGGAAAAAATATTACTAACTTTCTATGGCTTTGGGGATATTAAAGAAAGTACCACCAGATTCCAATACAGTGCATATTAGTTGTTTCTGCATTGGATCACGAATATCAGGGTTTGACGACTAGCAAAAGTACTCATGAGATGCCTGTCCTTCAAGACATCTAAATAAGCTTGCTCTAGATCGTGAGATGCCTTATGTGCAGTTAGTGGTATGGAAGGTCCTCTGCTCCCTAAAGTCATATTGCAGCCTGCCTGACACAATTCTGTCTTCTTCCAGCGTTCTTCCACTTCCACCTTTTCTCCTCTGATTTGCCAAAGGACCTCAAGTTTGACTTCAGCCTACACACGTGAGTGAAGAAGTAAACAGTGGCATGGAGCATTATAAATATTACCTCTTACTTGTGCCTGGGGTTCATCTGTACGCAACCACTCTTCATACCTCTTCCAATCACAGAGGCACTGAATTTGCTGGAGATGATTCTGTTTAAGCTTCATTTAAGAGAGATCTAGAGCTGGATACTGCCTGTGTACTGTTGTTATTTGTTGCAGTTTCATCTCTTTTCACTGGCTCGGATCTACATATGGATGTTGTGCAAGTACCAGCTCTCTGCTGACTTACTTCAGGGCATATTTGCCCACAGAGTTCTCTGTTCTGCTCCAAGAATACAGGATGTGAATCAGCACAAGGTCAAACACAACATGATGCTGAGAGCAGAGTGGGATTGTGTCACAAAGTGCTGAAAGGGATGCTTTCAGGGAGCTCCTCCTAACAAAAAGCACTCTCTTCCGTGTGTAATCTGACAAAGAGAACACTGCTCACGGAAGGCCAGTTTGATTGCAAGACATCCCTTAGCTAGTACCGTAATTTGATGTATTACTGCAAAGTTCCTTGATTACAACTAATTTTAAGTATTAGTGTTTCAAATCTAAACAGCATTCTCCATTATTTCCTCAGTTCCCTCCCTCTGCCCTCCACACAGACCTAGTGGATACTTGTGTAAGAGGCTGGTGTGCTTTACACTTGATGCTCCGGTTCCAGTTCCTCAGAAAGCAAAGCAAGGAAGCAAGAAATTTTTTTGTTCCAATAGTTAAGACAGTATCACGCTTGCCCAGTAACAGGAAAGGAGTGTACATGCTTCAACGGAAAGGATTTGGTAATATCAACATCTTTTACCTCCCTACCACATCTGACAAGAGACTGAGCTATGTTCTCAAACCAAAATAAGACCTAAAAATCTAACAAGATTACAACATTCAGGTAATAGGTTTGGCACAGCACATACAGTAAGGCAGAACATCATGCTGAAAGTACTAAAAATCTAGGTTTTCTAAGTGTTCAGATAGATGAAAACACGTCAAAACCTGTCCCACATTGAGACCAATGGGATCAAAACATGCTTTTAAGTCAGTTACAGCCAAACTGTTTTCAGTCACTTTTTTCTTAACACACCTCCCAGCCCTTTCAGATTCAGAGAGGATGGTCTGAGTCACGTTTTTCTGCCATTAAGGTCAAAGGGAGTCCACTGCTTTTCTCAGCAGATATGGAAACAGGCTCCTGATTTTGACCTTACTATTAATATTAACACTAGAGAGCTACATGCCATCATGCTCCCACGTAGGTACCCATTTTCAGCTCTCAGTTTGAAGATCCAGAGGTGTCCCAGACCATGTCCCAGGTGTATTTTTAAAAACATTTTCTTCTTTTCGGTCTCTTTCATCCCTTCTTTCCAGTCACTGCTGGTGCACTCCTAGTTGCGCTTCTGATTTGTTTCCCTTTCACACCATGGCTCTGAGCTATCTGCAGTCTTGTCTTTGGAGCAGTATGTCTGCACAGATGACTTGCAGACATCCCATTCCATCTCTGCTCTTTTCTGTCCATTCAGAATAGGCCCTTTCACTCTTATCTCTCTCTTGATAACCCACTAACAAACCTATCACCTAAAAGCAAATTCACACTTGGAAAAAAAAAAAAGCAAACAACCAAACCTCAAAACCTTGCTCTCCTTTAAAATGGACTACTGTATTTTCCAGATTCATAAGTCAATAGAGAGTTGTTCCTCAGTTCCAGAAACAACATTGCTAAATTAGGTGAACTTAATCAAAAAAAGGGATATGGTCTTCTACCTCTGCATTTATAAAAGATCTGAATCAATCAATGGAAACATGTATGATGACATTATGTATTTATAGCAGCCATGCCCAACATGCATTTATTTTTATTAAAAGTGTAGCTTACCTTTCTGACCATGACGACTGCTAAATTTATCTCCAATTTCTGGACGTCTGGTTTGCCTCAACAACATTTTGATCAAGAAAGCATCCTCTGCATTTGATGAAATCATTACTTTTTCAATATAAGAATCAGTCGCACCTTTGTAGCTGGTACAAGAAGACAAAAGATGAGCTTTATGTCTATGAACCAAACACAAGTTACAAACAGGTATCTGTGTATTAGTAAGCTTCTGGCCAAACTGTAGTCTTCATGGAACTTATATATGGGAGGCCAACGGAGCAAACATTATATAAAGTTCCATTATATATATAAAAAATAGATATTATTTATATATATATGTGTGTGTGTGTATATATATATGTATATAAGAAAATAAAGTTCCAGAGTATGGTATGTTTCTGGAAACGAAAAGGCTTAAGAGATACAATAGAAACAAAGGGAGAATTCAGCTGAACTTTTAAAGAACAAGGTATGTTTTTTGTCACATGGGCTCTTCTTAATGGAAATAAGCTTCCTAGTATACTGCAAATTTCTGGATCTTCAGTTAAACAAACAAAAGCCAAATAGACAGTTATAGCTGAAGAAGTGAGTTTAAAGAATATACCATGAATATTTAGGAACAAAATGAAGAAAAAAAAAAACTATGCATCAAGTGCAGGTGTGGAAACCAAGGGCAGAACATAACATGAGGTACAGACAGAAATGAATTCCAGAGTCTGAGATGCAGAGATTTTGGAAGGAAAGGAAAAAAAAAAGAAAAAGAAAAAAGGTAGGCATGATAGAGCAGGAAGGAAATTATTCTGGTATCAGCTTTTCTCTAGATATTGCAGAATGAGGGTAGAGCAGATTTTAATACCTTATTTAGGAGATTATTTGGTCTCATTGTTCAGGTAGCTGAGATGGGCAAACTATGACACCTAAACTCAGGGTCCTGGATCTACGTCTTTACCTGGCAGGATTACTTCTTTCCTCTTCATAATTACACTGCTGCCTCACTTCTTTATCTTGTAGGACTAAACCTAGAGCTTGCTATTGGTTATGAAACACACAGAAGTGCAGCGAAGCTAATTCTGCCTTTCTGATCTGGGCACCAATTGCTTGCCTTGCTCTCTGCTAGGCTACCAAACTGTCAAGGCTATTCATAGAATCATCAAATGGTTTGAGTTGGAAGTGAGTTTAAAGACCATCTAGTTCCCAGCCCCCTGCCATGGACAGGGACACCTTCCACTAGACCAGGTTGCTCAAAGCCCCATCCAGCCTGGCCTTGAGCACTTCCTGACAAAACAGTGAAAAACCACTTCTTTTATTCTTTCTCTCTTTCTTTTTATATTTAAGGCAAAATTTTCATCTCACACCTCAGAAGCCCTCTCCTGTTCTTTCAGGACAGGATGGGGAAAAAAAAAAAAAAAAAAAAAAAAAATCTTACTGACCATCCTCTCCCATTCACTGGCACCTTGGTAAAGGACATCTGATTAGAGTGGCCAGAATGAGCTGTCAGCCTCTGAGATAAGAAGGTCTCCATCTCCTGACCTCCTGCCTGGCAAAGCGAAGGCTGAGCAGCAGCCAGCGTTGGCCATTTTCTGTGTGAGTCAGTATGGAGGAGATGAGCCCCCTCACTAAGTACACACGTGTTCTCTGCCCTGCTACTCATCCTGTTTTTCTCCTGTTTCTCCAACACTTCATCCATAAGCAACTCCTCTCCCCTCTATCACTATCTTAGCTCTCTCCTTGGTTTCTCCCAGGAACATACTCAGTGATTCCTCTCTATACATACATCTTCAGGAGGGTTCCTCCCTCTCTTTGCAATCCCAGCCTTTCAGGTGCCAGAATCTAACTTATTAGTGATTAAGTGGTAAGGCACTTCCAAAAACAACTTCGGCTCTGAAAAAGCCTTTGAAAAAATCGAGACCTAGAGAACTAGGTCTAATTTGCAGAGGGAAGTTTATTCCTTTGAGTTTTCTAGAATTGAGTATTTTCTCAGATACCTTTCCTCCATGTACCTTCCCCAGCTATAAAGTTATGACACAACATACGTTACTGGCACATCTTTGTACTGCGGCTGCTGTGGCACACTACTTCCTTCCAGAGGCGTCTGGGTCACAGTTGGCATAGATTTGTTCACAAGGACTTGCTTATTTTCTACTTTTTCACCTACAAAGAACAAGGAAAAAAAAAGCACCATAAAAACATATCTATGTTAGAAATTGGCTACCTATGTTAGAAATACATTTTAAACCTTAAAAAAAGGTAAGCTGGTAGACAAACTGGGAGGAACATGTCCAGAAAGTACGCCGTGTTGTTTTATTAAATATTGCACGGTAAGGAAATCATTAAACTAGCTTTTTTTGGTAAACCAAAACAGAACCGCTTGCATGCTGGCTGCACTATGAGAATAGCTATTCAACATACCCTGGGTCTAAAGAATACACAAAAACATCTGAAGTCATCTGCCGCAAGTGTGGAGAAAATCAACAAGCAACACTGTAACTGACAAATTTTAAAAATTCACACCTACATTTGGGACACCACATCATTTCCACAATGAGTTGTGCAAGACTATTTTCAGCCTCTCCTTGCAGTTACTTTTTCCTATTGCTTCTGGTCTCATACATCAGCTATCTTCCCCTCCATTCCCTGACCCTGCCCTTCACTTAGAAAACCAGATCAGTAGCATGCCCAATGATACTAATGCACATCAGGTACCTGCCTCCCGCCTCCTCTGCAAAATTACTCTGATCTTCAGCCTATGTCTCTTTTCTGTCCACATGAACTGTTTCAAAGAGGTTTTTACTTACATGCTGAGAACAGCCTCAGTCTGGAGTCCACCCAAGTCCTATCTATCCTAATACTTCAGAAGATTCTTGCCTTTTTTTTTAATTAACTTTGAAAGCTCCATTGTGATGTGTTAAAGAGTAAAAGTGATCCAATTGTGCTGCTATAATGGAATTTAGTGCCTTTTACAGCACCTTTCTCATTAGATCTTAATTTCCTAATTGAAAGATGACAGTACAGGAGGATTCTCACTCAAATTTTTTTCCATTGGAGAGTTAAACACCTATCCTCATAACTAAATGTAGTTGTATTTATTTTATCTCTCTCCAAACATATTTCTGAAGTGTTAAAAACACAAGGTTCCAATTTCTCAAACAACTGCATTAACTGACAGCATGGTAGGAAGTTTTGAAGTATGAAACAAAAATAATAAGGAATCTATCCTTAAAAAACAACAACAGAACATATGAGAGACAAACAGCAAAAAACTGCAGTCTTAAAAGTTTGCCAGTTTGGGGATATAAGAACAACGTGAGTTCTAATGCTTCAATAGATTCACCCTGTTAAAGACTCACTTTTCTACTTAAATATATAACTTCCTTTTCTCACGCAAAAAAAAAAAATCCCAATGACTGGTACCACACTGCTTTCAGAAACTAACATTTCTAAATTTTCCATTACAATACTGTCATCTTCAAGAAAAAAAAAATACACAGTATAAAACAAGGTGTACAAGAAATACTAACAGAACAGTAATTTCTACCTCAGATTACGAACATGCCATGACGGAACATGTAGTCTGACATACCTGGAGAGCAGATACCATCAGCATCTAAGATTTCATGGCGCCAGATTGGTTTACGGGTAGCTGCATCCAACATCGGACCCATAACTTTATCAAATGTCTGGTTTGTGTAACGCTTCAGTGTGCACTTGGCATTCTTATATACAAGACACCTTCCAAAACCTAGAATGTAACACAAACTCATCTGCCTAGGAGTTCAAAGATTCTTCACAACACATTATCAGAGTAAAACAAGAATGCTGATCCACC